AAACATTAAAAATTAAATAAAAGTATATATTAATAAATACAGGTTTAGAAGTGGAAAAACATATGAGCGTAGCCTTATTCATTACAGATCAGTCTTGTAAAATAAGGAAGACCTGGCATAACTCTGGCGACTGCGCGGAGCGAGCGTGCCATTCACAGACAGTTCTGTAATTTTTGCAGCTCCAAATATTAATTCGTTCGGAAGCAAAAAAAAATATATATATATATTCTCTACGAATTTACTCACGTATAACCGGTTTCGTAGTCACCTTCGTTCGAGTATTGTTTTCACTCACACTGCACACACATATATATTTTCAATACGCTCGCTTGTATATATAATCCTAACCTAAACTAACACAGTATTAATACGCACGCACTATTACAACCGCGATACAAAGTATATTTCGAACTGCTCTTATATACTAACTTCAGAAATTCTTTTGCGCTTGTGAGAAACTTTATAAATAATCAAAACTTTATTTATTTAACAAAAATTAACCTTTCACTGTTATTATCTTTCTTATGATTACCAAGGTCAATTTTCATATAGCAAGAAAGTAGTATTTTACTTATATTTTTTAAATAAACTAATTCATTTTATTACAAGTTTTAATTAAAGCAATTGTTTTTGATATTTATATTTTTTAATAAATAATATTATAATATATTTAAATATATTATTTATATATAAGAATACTATATATGTTTATAAATTAATTAATTAAAATTATATTTTTCATTAAATAAAAATATTAAATATATATTAAAATTTACTTAATAATTTAGGATATTTTAACAGGGGGTCGATTACGTAACTTTCCCACTTCCCACATCCCACTTCCCATATTTCACACCCTACTTCCCACTTCCCATATTTCACACCCCAGTTCCCACATTTCACATCCCATATTTTACATCTCACTTCCCATATTTCATATCCCACTTTCCATATTTCACATCCCACTTCTCACTTCCCATTTTTCATATCACACTTCCCACATCCAACTTCCCATCTTTCACATACCACATCCCACTTCCCATATTTCACATACCACATCCCATATTTTACATTCCACATCTCACTTCCCACATTTGTAGTATGTGAAAGATGCGTAGTGAGATGTGAGAAGTGGGATGTAAAATGTGGAAAGTGGCATGTGATTTATGGCAAGTGGGATATGGGATGTGGGATGTGAAATATGGGAAGTGAGATGTGGGATGTGAAATGTGGGAAGTGAGAAGTGGGATGTAAAATGTAGGAAGTGAGATGTGGGATGTAAAATGTGGGAAGTGAGATGTGGGATGTAAAATGTGGGAAATGAGATGTGGGAAGTGGGAAAGTTACGTAATCGACCCCCAGGGATATAAAAATGAATAATAGTCTATAAATTTGTTGTCAAAAATTTTATTTTTAAAAAATAAAATTATGTCGGACTGCTTAATTAAATCCAAATTTTATTTATATAATTACAATTGAACTGCAATTTACACATATACGAAATTTCGCCTTCTTTAACATTTTTCAAATTCAATTTTACCCATTGCAAACAATCTTCATTTAAAATTTTGAATGCCTGAAAATGTTCGTCGAAAAACATTTCGACGATAGACGCGATCAGCTCGTGACGTCACGACACGTCACTACTCACAGCGCTACAAGCCTACTACAAGCCAGTTCTGTAATCGTTTCAAGTCTAAACAGCACTGGTTGCAAAACGAAAAATCGGATCTCAATTACAGGAGCGCTTATGACAATTTACAGATACGTTCTGTAATTTAAGCAAGTCTATTTGTAAAAATATTAGAACTGCTTTGTAACCATCACAAAAGTGGTCACTTCGTCCGAGCAGTACGGTGCAGTTCTGTAATCGTTACAGAATAAATTTTCTCAGTGTGCTGCCAATTCTAAGTCTGGACAGGGTTTCTACAAATTTCTCTTCGCGAAATTCCATGATTTTTCCATGATTTCTAGGTGATAAATAATAAAATTTCCATGATACTTTAAAACTCACTATAAATATAAATTATGACGAATTAAAATACTGAAAATGGGTATCATTTTCAACGAACGTGTAAATTCGAGTCTTAGATCATGGAATTGAAAAAATTCCATGATAGAATCAGAAATTCCATGAGATTTCTATAATTCCATGATCCACTTAGGAACACAATTTTTCTTATTATCTGAAATATAGATAATATAGTAAAAAAAAGACAAATAAATTTTAGTTTTTGTAAAGAAAAAATCACTTATTTCTTTTGAGTTGTTGATAAAATTCTTAGATTAAAATTGTTAAATTTTTTTTAAAAATTAACTTAATTAATTTTTCTTTAATTTTTTAAAAAATTAATAACTTTAATAAATTATTTTAATTAATTAAATTAATTAATTGTTATTTAAATAATTTAAAATTCATAAATATTATTATTAAATAATTATTACTTGATAAAATATTTTGCATAGAAATTTAATTTTATTATAGTTCTATTTGGTGTTAAATATTACTTTTTATTTTGAGGTTATGTCATAAAACCATTGCAAGACCGAGTTGCTCTAAGGAATACCATACTTGTGGACAAACTGGCAAGGGCCTTTCCACTGCACACGGAAAGACTTTGTGCATCACTTTGTGTTAAACTCGCCACGAGATTTTAGTAAACTTTTTACCAAACTCGGAAAAAAAGGAAAGATATTAATAATTCGTAGTCTGACTATTAAAATCAGAAAAAAGTTACTGATGTACAATAATTGATTGTTGAGAATTTTAAAATTTAATAGTCAGTCGATCAAAAAATAAAATCTGAAGTTTCACTAAAAAAACATATACATAGCTTTTAATAGCGTGACTACTAAAGTTGCCATCTGAAACGCCATATATACGTATATATATCGACAATTGATAATAAGTAATGTAGAAATCCAATTTACCTATGAACGAGAGATCACATCTTAACCTAAAATCGTCTAAAATACAGATAGGGTAAACGCTCGCTTTAACCGACGCAACGCAAATACAATTCATATCAACGATATCAAGAGGGCAGTTTATTTTTTTTATATACTAATCTCACCATTTCATTTCCACTTACGAGAAAATTTTTATTATGTTTAAACTTATTTCAAGTGCAATAAAAAAATTTCAAAAAAATAAATTATTTAATATTATTAATAAGGTCAATTTTAGGAAATGTCAGAATTAATTTTTTAGGCAAACAGGATTATTAAAAGTGTTCGTTGTGTAGACATTTTTCTATCTATGCCGGAACTATTCAACTGCTGACGCTACACGGACAAGCTTCGCTTGTTTGTATGCGTGCTGTTTTCATCGTGAGACTACTAAATTGTAAACACGACGCAATGAAAATGTCGTTCTTACAAATATAAAGAATATACTTTTGACATTCATTTTTTCTTAATCTTAATTTTTCTTACAGCGTTAACGAATATTTCTTAGCGTGACTACTAAATTTTGATAAAAAAGAAAACATTTTTTGTTGAAAACATTTATATAAAATGATAGTTTTCCATTTTTTCCGAGTTTGGTCGCGAGTTTACTAAAATCTCTTGGCAAGTTTGACAGAAAGTGATGCACAAAGTCTTTCCGTGCATTGATATGTAGTTTTCTAGGTTATATTGCAAACATGGCATAACCACGTAACTGTCGTTTAATCTGGGAAATGCCAGACTTGTGGAAAAACTGGCAAGGGCCATGAGAGAGCCTTACTCAAAGTAGAACTAAGTAGGGAAATTTCTGCACGGGAAAAGAACCATGAAGTAGTATAAAGAGCACTCACTCTATAGGCATTTTTTGAAAATTCTTCCCCAGCCTTTCCAGATTTAATAGAAACATTTACATATTCCCGATACTAACAACCCTAGCGGAAAAGCAAGGAATTACAGGTCACGTGGTACATTGTTATATAAGTGTTTGTGTATAACTGTCAGTTGGCGTTTTTTTTTGAAATGTGTTTGATGCGAGTTAATTTTCTGTAATTATAAATAAAAAAGTGAAAAATGAGGATGCTAAATTGATCAATGAATCAGCATTAACACAGGCAACTTTACTTGATACAAATTATTTTGTATGTATTTGAATGTTAACAAAATACTTGCTGAACTTGTCATTAAATTTTGTTTGTTTACATGTAAATATAACCTAAAAATAAAAAAAAATTAAGAAATTTCGTTTGAAATATATACGGCTACAATGAAAAATAATTATTTATATTTTTATTATTTTTTTTATTTTTATATAACTTACAACAAATTATTGCAATTCCTTTATTATTTTATTATGAAACATAATTGAAAACAAATATTTTAAAAATCTAAATTATATATTCGTATATAAATAAGCAAAAACTTACCAATTTTCAAATATATTTTCAAAAAATTTATGTTTTATTTAAAATTTTTGTGTGTAACTTTTTTCTTTCTTTACAACTCAAGTCAAATAGTTTTATTGAGATTAAAAATTTGGACACTTTTTCTAAAATTATTATATATCACTTTACACTGTTTACTATATATGAGAACAGCTGTCACTAGGTGCAGCCATATTTTGAAAACTTTTAAGTACACCGCTTTTCCGCTAGAGGCGTCATAATCGGAGATATGTAATTTCAGATTTATTCTCATGCAAGGGGCCTATATGCTTAACAAGTAGTGAGTGCTCCTTATACTACTTCATGAAAAGAACCTTGCAAAAGGCAAACAGAGAATCTATTTTGCGTTGGCTTGTAGAGTGCGAAGGGAAATGTGTAACCTAAAATTATATATACATATATATAGGACAACGACCACCGCACGCAATTCGAGTATATTAGGGTTACCCATGGCACGCAATTCAACCTATACCTGCCATCCCTTGGGACGCAATTTGATATCAGCCGTCTTATTCACTGTCATATTCAGACCTATATATTTTTAAGACAAGTAAATCATTAAACATTAGACACAAGAAACAGAAATGTTAATAATTAATAATATGTTTTCAGGAAATGTATCCTGACGGCCTCTTGACACTTCATTACGGGAAACATCCCGCAACATTAGCTGCAGAGGTCGGGGCATGGTACTCTGGAGACCGTCATGTGGATGTCACCCTTGCTTGTGACGATGGTTCTGTTGTTAAGGCCCATCGTGTTGTGTTAGCAGCAGCCAGTCCTCTTCTAGCTAATCTTCTTCGAAATCCTGCTCTGGATCACGTAGTTCACTTTTCCGGAGTTAGGAAATCTCAACTCAGTCACTTACTAGAATTTCTTTACAATGGAGAAGCTCTTATACCGGTATAACATACTTATGATGTTTTATAAAATATAATCGGTGTACTGCCGCGTATGACTCCTATAACCGATTTTAATGTAACTTGGTATACTTATGTATTTTGACGCGCTAAGTCTAAAAATGTCAATGAAAATTAGCGTCATTTTCTGTCCATACATTTTTCACTAAAAGTGATTATTTTTTAATAAAAAATGCCAAACATAGTGTAAGAGAAACCGGGGTTATTTGGGGCGCTTTTTACTCTTTGTTGTGTAACTCAATCATTTTTGCTCTAAAAGAAGGGGTTTTAAACTATTAAAATTTTTTTTTATTTTTATTCCTTATTTATTATGGATTATCTTGCTATCATGGCCGCCTGAAAATACCCCTACTTGTGATTGGCGGGCACAATATCTCCAATTCAGGTTATCGAAAAATAAAATTTTTGATATTTTCTTGAAAAGTAAGCTCGTTGCTATCGTCGGAACTACAATCAACTATTTTTGATGAAAAAAAACAAAATGGCGGACTTTTTTCAATTTTGACCATGTTTTTTCAACTTAAATTGTTTTAAAAAATGGTTAAATATAAAAATATAATAAATAAATATAAAAATTTGAGCTTAATCGGTGCAATAGCTTTTTTTATTATGTCCGCCGATCAAAAAACGTTATTTTGAGAAAAAGCGAATTTACGAAAACATGTCCTTTTTCAAGAAAATACCCCCTTACGCGACAGGATACATTATATGTGACGCTCCACTAGAGAAGGGACCTATCCCCGAAATAACATTAGGCTCAGTTTTCCGTGCCCCGTACATGAATATGAATATGTATATGTGTACTTTGATACATGGGCATATCTCTAGAACTTTTAAACTTTGAGATATTAGAAAAATTAATTTTTTTTTCAGGGCACATTCGTGAAACAAATTTTATTGTCTTCAGTATTGATCAAATACTATAAAAAAATTTGCGTAACTCATTTTGTATCAGCCAGATTTAAACACATCTATTAGTTAATACTTACTTTTCTTCACAAACTATGCATGAGAAGAGATTACAATGAGTTGGGAGCATTTAGAAGCAAAATTCAACATGTGCTTTTCAAATATGTGCTTTTTGATTTGAGTTACGTTTTAAAATTTAATGTTTGAAGTCATTGCATTCTTTGTGTAAAGGAGGCACACATTCCTGTATGGGTTCAAATTACTTCTTATTAGGTAGATAATATAATCCCGTTGTGCCGTTACTCAAAAACCTTCGTTAAAAAAGTTATATCAGTTTAACTGCTAACTTGTAGAAATTTTGAAAAAGTTGTTTCGCAAGTTTGAAGCTACATAGTTTTTATTCAATTTGAGGCACATCATTGTTTCATGGATTTTTTAGTTCTTTACACTCCCACCTACTTCTATTGCAAGCCACAAGACACACAATGTTTCGTTAAAAAAGTTACTGTCTATAAACTAAAAAAAACAGTCAATATCACACACTAGAAACTGTCGATTTCACCACTTTAACTTACGTTCGTCATTTCCTACATAATTAAAAAAATTCTATAACGCATGATACATTTAAAAAGCCCTATAATTGGTCAAATTATGGTATTGAAAAATTATTAAAAAAATTCTTAAGGTATCATAATGAGTGATAACATAAAGTTTAAAAGTTCTAGAGATATGCCCATATATATATGTATATATATATATATAAAAAGCATACATTGTACTCGCGAAGAGTACTCGCTCCATGAGCGCGTGACTATTTTCTTGAAAAAAGATGTGGTAATAACCCCTTAATATAAATCAAAAAAAAATTTTTTTTATTAATAACAAATGTATAGAGCTCCAAACTTAATATTTGAGCTCTTCTACACTGCAAAAAGTTGGTATCTTCTTGGTATCTTAAAACAAGATGTTAAGACGGAAATGGTAACTTCCATTCGCTTCCATCTTAGAATAAGATGTTAATTTTAATATTTAGATGCTTTATTCCTATTATAACATCTTAAAATAAGACACTTTAAATAACTAAAAAGTTACTACCAAAACGTCTTAAAAGTGACTACCAAAACATCTTATATTAAGACACTTCTTTTTGCAGTGTAAAATTAATTTTTTAAAGATTTATCACAAAAAATTAAAGAGGTTAAAAAATTACTTTGCTCTCTAAATTTGAATTAGCTAAAATTTCACTGTTTGAATCAGCGAATAAAGTTTTCACTGCAAATCAGCGGATACAGCTAATAAAATAGCGAAACACGAATCGGCGAACGTCGGTTATTTTCGTCGGAAGATAAATTTATTTTTAAAATGGAGTATCCCGCTGATTGAAATAGTTGTTAGTCGCTGATTCGCAGCTGCATACTTATATCTTTTTCAATCAGCGACTATTCGCTGCCAATCAGCGGATTTTAGCTGATTCAAATTTAGAGAGTGGAGGGCCAAAATCAGTTATTTTAATCTATACTCCACAATAATTAATGAATATTAATGAAATTTTGTACAAACAGCCCTGGTCTTTCCTATTCTCCGGATAAAGTCGGGTGGGATCTGCAGCACGTGTCATATGATCTACGCGACAAATAATGTGTGTAACAAGGCTTCGATTTATTATGTAATAGTTTTCAAGCTGTTTAAGGATTTTTCCATTTTTGTCGAAAACTTTAGTGAAAAATATATAGGACATAAAATGTGCGTTTTAATGAGATCTCTAATTTTTGTCTGCAACATTTTTTGAAATTTTTTGTTTTTCAGAGTAACAACACTGAAAAAACGGTATTCTAGATTTTAGAATGTCTACTCAAATAGGAGCCAAGAATATTCCCCACTTAAAGTAAGTGGAAAATATTCTTACAATAAATAATATATTCTTGGCTCCTATTTAAGTAGACATTCTAAAATCTAGAACATCGTTTTATCACTGCACGCACGCTAAGATAGCTTCTATAATATTTGAGGACGTTCTTGTCACTATGCAATTAATTTTACTATCTATAATGTAGTTAAATTTATTACTTTGAATAGTTATTATCCTCTTTTAATTTATACTTCTTAAACTGAATAAAAAAACTTTAGGGGAAAGTGGGGTAAAATTAAGTAATCCCACTTTTCCATGATAGGTATTTCCATTTGTGTCACCCTTCACATATATCTTTTATATTACAACCACCATCATGAAATGATGGATTAATGATTTCATTAATGATGAAAACGCTAAATAAAAATTTATTAATTGCATTTTATGGGATGTTTAAATATAATATATTATAAAACCAAATATATAATCAAATACATTATATGTATATTATTGAGACCGTCTAAATATCCATAAATTAGTTTGACACTTTGGAATATACACTAAAAAACTAGTAGATTTGACTATATTTTTTAACTAATCTGCCTATTACAATAGGTTTTTAACTCAATTTAAAAAGTTGTATTAACAATAAAAAAGTAGTTAAAATAACTAAGAATGTAGTTGTCAGAAAGAGATTTTGAAGTTGTTTCAAAAAGCACATTGTAGATATTTTTCCGCCATATATATATGAAATAAAATTCCTGTAGCAAACTAAGTGAAAAAAAAGTTGATCGGATCGGGCTGCACTGCAAAAAAATTCTAGTTAGAATAACCAGAATTCAGGTAAGGGTATATTTAACATTTTGATTCTGGTTAGGTTAACCAGAATTCTGGTTATTTTAACGAGAATTCTAGTTAATTCGAATAAATATAATAATATATATGGGGTAAAAATTCTACAGCGAACTAAGTGAAAAAGTAGTTGATCGGATCGGGCTGTAACTTGCACATAGTTTAGCCCTAAGGGTGAGTAAATTTAACCACGAAGTATTGTTAGGTTTTTTCAAAAACTGGCGGAGAGGGAGGGGGTTGAATTTTATTGAAAAATTTAAACAATGAATTTTTGAAGACTTGTAACTTTTAAACAGAAAGAAGAAAAAAAATTTGTTCTATATGTTTTCGAAAGGTTTTTCCTGCTCTTTCGAATGGTGCAAAAAAAATTTTCAAAAAATTCAAATGTTAACCCATTTTTTTGAAAGTTAAACATTTTTTTGAATTTTTTTTTAAGGTTGGGCCTTTTTATTTTATTTATTTATTTTTTTTTTAAAGCTAAAAATGTGTATTTTTACCACAAAAAATATTGAGATGTCCTTTTTTTTTATTTTTGAGATATTAATTAATTAATTAATTAATGATAATAAAAAAAGAAATATTTCTCAAATAAATAAAGTTATTGCAATCCTGAACGTACCAATTGAAAGCTGACGTAATGCCGCATCCAACGAGCCCTATACGGACTATTTTGGATTAGAGGATTTTTTATAAACAATTGCCATGTTAGCCAATTGTTTATTAACATTCCACTAACCCAAAGTACTTCATATAGGGCTCGTTGGATGCCGAATTTCGTCAACTTTCACTTAGTAACGTCAGAATTACGATAACCTTATTTGTTTTTAAAATGTATCATTCTTTATTAACCTTAATAGTTAATTAATTAACTAATATCTCGAAAATAACAAAAAAGGACATCTCAATATTTTTTGAGCTAAAAATGCACATTTTTAACTTTCAAAAAAAGAAATAAATTTAAAAAAAAGACCGAACTTAAAAAAAAGTGAAAAAAATTTTTGATTTTCAGAAAAAAGGGTCAAATTTTGAATTTTTTGATTTTTTTTCACCAATTGAAAGAGCACAAAAACACCTTTGGAAAACATAGATGTCAAAATTTTTTTTATTTACTTAGGGTAAGTCCGGGGGAGTTGGCCATAGTTTTTTTAAAGGCTTGTAAAAATAAGAAGAAAGTGATTTATGTATTAACTTTTATTGTTAATTAAACATTGAACATTTAACTTACAAATAATAATAGAAATGATAAATTTTTTAAATGTAAACAATCTTAAAATTAATATTTTTAAAAAAACACGTTTGGCCATCTCTCCCGGAATGTACGGGGGAGATGGCCGATATTTTAAAATCATTCTTTGGCTTTTCGCTTTATCAGA